CACACACACACACACTCTCTCCGTTTCCCATCTGCCAGCTTCTAGTCTGCATTAATCCTTTTGACTGTGGATTACAGTTGTGGGATCAGTCTAGTAACAGATATCGTCTTTCCAGCTCTACCAGGTCAAAGGTCACCCATATTTAAATTCCTCAAATGACTCGTCAGGTGATAAACGAGGGCTGTTGAATTAATAATTAGTCACTCGAGCACCAAACATTTACATTTCTCCTTTCAGCAGCGTCAGCTGATTCTCTGTCCAGAGCCGATTGTTTAAAATAACTGAATCCGGCGGTTCGACCACCATAGAAGGAAACCAGGGCAAAATCCCTTTCCTGAAGCGGAAAGCCGTCCCTGGCACTGGAGTCACTTAATCCAATCACTCATGATCGGGATAAGACTCACTCAAGCTGTGCAACAGTTTATTAATCCATGAGCGGGGAAAGGAGGGGCGATTCAGGCTAATCAATAAAGCCGTGAATGAAGGATTGTTTACAAAGCTCCCCGCCTCTCTCTCGGTCTCTCTCTGTTATCGATTGCTTTCTGTGCTAATTAAATAGCTTTTGAGAGCCGCAGACTAATGGCTGTCAGAGACGCTGACTGTAAGACGCCGTAGAGGTTATAAACAGACCGGAGTGACTCACGGTTGATATGACGGGGGAACGGACAGAAGTTTTGGGCAGAGAGAAAGAACGAGAGGAAAAACTGATGACAGTAAGTTAGTGTGAGAGAGCGAGACAGTCAGAGTGGATGGAAATTAGACCCACGGAAAATGTCTATGGGAAAATATAAATATCATATCTAATGAATCTTTTGCCAGAAATGAAGGAATGGGATTTTGTAAGGCATTTTTCTTGATGCAGTTATAAAGAAGACTCTTCTGCTCACCAAGGCTGCATTCGTTTGATCAAAAATACACTAAAAACTGAAAAAATGTGAAAAATTATTATAATTTAAAATAGCTGCTTTCTATGTGAATATCTGTTAAACTGTAATTTATTTCTGTGATGCGCAGCTGAATTTTCAGCATCATTACTCCAGTCTTCAGTGTCACATGATCTTCAGAAATCATTCTAATATGCTGATTTGCTGCTCGAGAAACATTTCTGATTATTATCAGTGTTGAAAACCGTTGTGCTGCTGAATATTTTTGTGGAAACCGTGATGCATTTTGTTTTTCAGGATTCACAGATGAATACAAAGTTCAAAAGAACAGCATTTATTTGAAACAGAAATATTTTGCAACATTATAGATGTCTTTACAGTCACTTTTGATCAACACAATGCATCCTTTTTCATGTTTTTAAACGTTTAATTACCACACAAAATAATGTCTTTACTGTCACTTTTGATCAATTTAATGCGTCCTTGCTTAATAAACGTATTCATTTTTCTACTGACCCCAAACGATTGAACAATAGTGTGTTTTGGAGTATCTTGTTTATTGTGGTCTTTCCAGTATTTCCAGTGACATTGAATCTCTAGCAACACACCATAAGAAATATTAATTTTAGTCTGATTCACAAAATAAATGACTCATTTGAGTGTGATTCTTTTAACGAGTCATTTAAAAGCACTCCCAGACTCTGGAGTTTCTGGTTTGAATCAGTCTGATGAATCTTTAAGCAATATCCAGTTAGAAATTAAGCAAGTTTTGCTACTAAAGGTTTGTGAATGTAATTAATTACCTACTGGTCTTAAAACTGACACTTGCTGTTTGCATAAAAAATGATGGCCAACAGTTATAGATAAAACTGTTTATTTATTTATTTAAATTATTTAATTTTTTTATTGTAATTATTATTTTAAAATAATTTTAAATAATTTATTTGATTTTATATTTTAATCATTTTTATTTTTATAATTTGTATTATTTTTTTATTCTATTTTTATTTTATAAAATTGTATTTCTATTTCTATATTCTTATCATTTTTATTTGAATTATTTAATTTATTTATCTCTTTAATTGCAATGTTTGTAACTGTTAAAATAAAATAAAAAAAATAAAAATGTATAAAATTTGTGAGTACCATTTTTTCTTTTATCATATTTCCATAAGTTGTATATCATGATATACATATCACTGTTGACTAAAAAAGAACATTAAGATATAAATTTTAATGATATAAAATTCAGTACTCAGAATTGATCTACTGTAAATCTGATATAACTACTTAGGGTTTGTCTGTGGTCAAATAAACAGGTCTCTGGTATCCTCGTTTAATTAACTAGTTAAAGTCTGTGTCTTTTTTAGAAGCAGGTTAACCAGCACAGTTATGTGCCGATTTAATTTACGGGGATCCCTGGAGTAAAAACAGCATCTCTGTGTTTAATTTTGGCCTTACGTTACGTTTGTTAATCTGATTTTCCTCACCACATGCCAGAATCTCTCACATCCTCAAAGGTTAAGCCACTGTTTTCACTCTCTCTGACTCTGTGAGGCTGTTTCTGCTACTGTGCCTTTAAAATATGTTAATGAGCTCTGTTATCATTGGCTAACGTTGTGTAGGTCACACTGTTGTTGATCAGAATGGCTGGAATTTCTGCTTTTTTAGAAGCAGGTTAACCAGCACAGTAGTGTGCCGATTTAATTTACGGGGATCCCTGGAGTAAAAACAGCATCTCTGTGTTTAATTTTGGCCTTACGTTATGTTTGTTAATCTGATTTTCCTCACCACATGCCAGAATCTCTCACATCCTCATTCAGAGCGAGAGGTCAAAGGTTAAGCCACTGTTTTCACTCTCTGACTCTGTGAGGCTGTTTCTGCTACTGTGCCTTTAAAATATGTTAATGAGCTCTGTTATCATTGGCTAACGTTGTGTAGGTCACACTGTTGTTGATCAGAATGGCTGGAATTTCTGAATTCTAAATGTGTTAATTATATAAATGTGGGCGGTCATATGTTAATGAGCTCATGGTTGGTGGCTGTTTACGCAGTTTAGTTTTGATAACTAATGTTCATAGTGCATAGTCAGTGTTGTTTTAGGATTATTTATGTACTATTATAGTATTTATTAATGGTGTGTTTTTTTTTGTATATTTTCAGTTTTGTAGTGTGCAAAATATTTTTTTTAAATTTATGTTTATATTTATTTATATACTTTTATAGTATGTAATAATATTTTGAGTTAGCTTTTTATTTTTATATTTTCAGTTTTCATTAAAGTTTTTCATTTTTAATAATTTTGTAGTGTGCAAAATATCTTTTTCAATTTATTTATATATTTATTTATATACTATCATGATATTTATTGATATTTTGAGTTAGCTTTTATTTTCAAATTTTCAAATTTCATTTTTTATTGTATTAATCTTGTGATGTGCAAAGTTTTGTTTTTTAAATTATGTAATTTCATTTATTTATGTACTATTGTAGTATTTATATAATGTTACTATTTATTAATATTATTTTATTTATTTTATTTTGTAATTTTTTTAAATTTAATTATTAATTTTGTAATGTGCAAAATGTTTTTTTTAAATTATGTTAATTATTCATTTAGTTATGTACTTTTGTAGTATTTATTAATATTTTTAGTTTATTTTTATATTTCCAGCTTTCATTTGAACTTTTTTGATTTTGCAATTTATTTTGTAATGTGCCGTGCATTTGTTTTTCATTTATTTATTTATTAAGTTTTAGATTTAGTAATTTTAGTACTTCAACCATAACTTATTTATTTCTATTAGTTGCCCAGGCTTTATTTCAGTTATAGAATATTGTTACAATAGTTAGTTTGAAAACACGTCTACATACTGTAGTACTTCAAGTGTGGTTCTTGTATTTCGAAAAGCAATAAAAATCCCGTTTCTGACTGAAAGAGCCCTTGGAGAGGGTTTAATGGACATGTAGTTTTTGATATTTCAGGCTGAGATCTCCTGGCAGCAGATGAGGTTAGATGTTGGCCATGGATGAAGGCGTGGTGGAGGAGTGGCTGTCTGAGTTTAAGGTGCGTCGTCTCTTTCGTGATCAGCTTCATGAGTCTGAGGTCCGGCTCGTGTGCTGAACGTGTTTTCTGCTGTGTTTCAGACTCTTCCAGACACGGCCGTCTCCAGCTACGCTGCCTCTCTGAAGGACAAGGGCTCTCTGGTTCCTGCGCTCTATAAAGTTATACGGGAGAATTACAGCGACGTAAGATGATCTCTGTTCCTAACTGTACTCAGACTCTCTATTTCTCTCTCATTAACCCTTAAAGACCTAGAACATTTTTGGGGCACCTGACACGCCTGCACTTTTCTTTGTTTTTTTAAGACCTATTCTAGCAGTCAGCATCAAGTGTCATATATCACTATAAACAGGAGAACTTGAAGTTTCAGTCTAGCTAGAAAGTCCCAATTTTCCCTTTGTTTTCTCTAAGAATGAATGAATTTCCAGAATTTTAAGAAAAACGCAAGCAACAGTTGGGTGTTTTTTTACTGTGTACTCAAACAGGAACTCCTGAAGTTTGGATTTTTTTCTTTAGAAGGTTGTATCTGGGTGTTTTACACTTCCAAATAAAATTTTGTCTACATATAACATTCCCTAAGCAAGTTATAGCCATTCATTACAATATTATTATAGGCGCTTTTTAGTGAAAAACAGGTCTATTTAGTTTACTAACAATATAGATGTGTCCAAAAAAGTTTAGGGGTAAAGAAAATGGAAAAAGTGTTATATAATAACAAAACACTGTAAAAAAAGTGACTTTTTTTTCAAGATAAATATATTTTCAATCTGAGTATGAACAACAACAAACACAAACCGTGCAGCTATTTAGAGAAAACAATTGCACAAATTGTCTTCTGCATTAAAAATACAAACAGTGCAAATGATTCACAAACTACACACAGAATGAGTGAGAAATATACAGAGTGCAACAGAAAAAATAGTGAAAATGATCTTTATAAACTATATAAGAATTATTTACATAATATAAATGATCGATCCGCAGGCTGTACTATGCGTCGGAATGATTTTACCCGGACTTCGTCTAGCGACGCGAAGACATAAATTCCAGTGCTTTATCCGATATGTACTACTGTTTCATCCTTGTTTTTGGTTTGTTTTATGTCGAGGTACTCCGTCGTGTGTTTTTCTGGGCTTTTTCAGAGAGTTCTCTCATGAAAATGTGTCATTTTGTGTTTGTTTTCATGCACGCACGACAGACTTTACTTTCACTTTGCGTTTGTTCAGATTTCCAATGATAAATCCTAAATGGTGGTTCAAAAGACCAAAACCTATGTTTATTGGTTGAATATGGGACAGTTTGAACCAATCTGGGCACGGGGGTGGGTCTAAGCATCAACAATCGTTCCTGTTTGGCTCAGAGGAACGAAATGCATTGGTTTCTTCTGACGAATCAATGTTGTCAAAATGTGATGACGTAATCACGTACACTACGGAGCCTCTGAATATCCAAATAAGATGAACGAGATATCTCCGCTTTACAACACTTTTTAAAGCATTCACATAGGATTAGCGGTTCAAAAGTTATTAAACATTTAAGAACAATAGTTATTTTTAGCCGCAGGCGGCTGTCTCGGTCTTTGAGGGTTAAGTTGTGTTTTCACTAAAGTCCACTTTAAGTCATAAGTTCCCACTCTGAGAAAAACAGCAGTTACAGAAGTAAAACGCATTGAGATCTATGCGGTTATTATAGTTAACTAAAATTAAAAACGGGAAAAAATGATATTTTGGAGAAAAAAAAAAAAGTTAACTGAAATAAAATAGAAAAAAAATTTAATAAATAAAATAAAATAATTTTATTTCAGCTAGTTGCCAAGGCAACATATGTTCTATTCATTTAATTCAACTTGATATACTAAAATAACTCAAACTAAATATGAAATAAAATTTTATAAAAGCTATATAGGCATGTTTAAAAAAAAAAAAAAGGCAAATACACAATTACTAAAATTTTAACAAAAATGAAAAAGAAGTTTTTTTTTTTTTTTTTTAGTAATTTTTGTAATATGCAAAATATTTGTTTGTCTTTAAATTAATTTCTTCATTTATTTATGTACTATAATTGTATTTATTAATATTTTGAGTTAACTTTAAATATTACATTTTCAGTTTTCATTTTAATTTTTATTTTGAGTAATTTTGTAATGAATATAAATTACTTTTTTTTTTTTAATAAAACCTAATTCAAACCATTAATGAAAACTATAATAGTATCTTAATGATACTAAAATAAAGCTGCCAGAGCTGAATGATTTGAGAAAAAAAATCAAATCAAGAAAAAGTTATTTTTAGTTAATTTTTTTTCCCTGATAATTTTTTTTTTTTTTAATAAAAAATATTACTATTCTAATACTAATATATTAAATACATTATTATAATTTTATTTTTCATTTTCAGACATTAAACCAAGTTGAAGTAAAGTATCTTAAAAGGACAATTTGGGCAACAAACAATTTTACCGAATTTACGCAAGTGTTTGAACAAAAATATAAGCTTGACATTTTGGTCTTGCATGCCAGCTTTTCATTTGAGTCGTTTCAAGCTGTTAAAGTAGCATGTTTCCTGATCTTATACACAAACTCAGAGACGTCCGGCTAAAAATAACTTGGAGTATCTTTTGAGAGCTGTTTCTGTGTTCGGTGATGTCAGCGCGAGTTATTACAGTACGAGCAAAGCCGTTGCGAAACAATGTTGCGACACTCCCATAGGTTTCCATAGGAACTGAGGAATGCGGAAGTAAAGCGTGTCATGGAGCAGCCAATAGTTCCAAACAACCAACAGTTCCAGTATTGAAGCCCATTCATTTCAGTGCTTCTCACGCACACTCGCCAGAAAGTTGAGGAAATTACAGCAGTTTTTGGCATTTTAACGCATTAGTTTACCTCTCGGAAATCTGGCCAGTAGTTATGAAACGCGTTCTAGTTAATGTTTAGTTTTAGATAATAGGCAGTTATGCTATATTTGCAATTAGATAACGTGAGAAACACCTTAATAGCGATCATAACCAGATGCTAATTGTCATATTTTTAAGTTTGTAGTCTTTCTGCAATATTTCTCTCCCTGTAGGAAGTAGAATGAGTTTCAGTGAAGACTGCCCATTAAAGGAATACAAGAAAGAGTTTCCCTGAATGCTGTTGGTTGCCTTCTGGTTTTTTTTTTTTTTTAAACGTTATTTAAATTTTTTTATTGGGTTAAATTCCGTATTTGCTGGCCTTTGTTAACATTCACTTATATTGTCTTCTTACATAAATGTCATAAAATAATACTGGGATGTGAGTAATTAATCTTTTTTTTTTAATTCAACATTTTAAAAAAAGCTAAACTTATAAACATTGAGTGTTTGATAATGTCTAAATATACAATGCAAAACATAAAATAAATAAATAAATAAGCTATTATGACCGGTAAAACTCTTTACAGCAACTAGAGTAGAGCAATATTTATTAAACAAGCATACGGGCATCTAGTGGTTAAATCATAGCATTACAGAGGAATATTATTTTTCTGCCCACCAAACGTCTCTAATTTGCCTCTTTGCACTGGAATTTAAAAACAATTTCTCTATTTTAACCCTAAATACTACGCTAATTGTAATATAAATAATAATGCATCACTCCCCAGAATAAAATGCGATTGTAAAACGTAGTCAGCGTAGTTATCAATACACAATCAATGCACATGATGTGTTAATAATCACTAGAAATTGCTGCAAATATAGAGAAACTGCTGTCTATCCTACTTAAACCCATTCAAACATATTGACAGCGCGGAGTTGTTTGGAACTATTGAGAACTCCATGAACCACGTGACCGCGAGATCAAAGCGTGTCGCAACTCTGTTTCCATGGTGATGAATGATGAGGTGTTTTCTGTGGGACGGGTGTGTCTCTATCAGCCAAACTGTCCTAGCAACGACATAATCCGAGAAGAATCTCTTCAACAACAAACGTTTTACTGTAATCAAGCACATATTTCAGATTCACAGATGTACTGAGAAAGTCTGAAGCTCTTCCATTAGTGACGGGCTTCATGTCATTTATTTTTACTGGAGTACTCAACAAATAGCACTCTAATGCTGTAATTAACATCAACTGAGTACTCTAGAGTTTCCATCTGCTCCGTATTTACGCTTATGTTTTGTTCAATGTGAGCATGCAATGTCCACAAGAAATTGGGAAAAATAAATATATTACTATATATATATACTGTATATATTACTTGTATTGTATGGTAGCATGCTCTTCTCAAAGTAATAATAATAATAATAATAATACAATTGTATTTCCATGTTTTAATTTTAACAGAAAGTCTCTGTAGCACTTTGTTTGCCAAAAATAAAATAAATTGTTTAATTTTCATTTGATTACATTTTAAAAGGTTAATTCATTTAATGTTTTATGCCTAGTGGATTACATTAAGAATGAAAACAGAAAACACAGTTTTGGAAAAATAAAATGGAATTTGCGGAAAAAAAAAAATAGGCTTCTGAAAATGTTAATCTTTTGGTAAATTGTTGTTAAATTGTATAAGTTTCATGATTCCAATTAATTAGTCATGTGTTTTGATTAATAAAATTTAATTTAACTATTAAAATGGAGTCCAGAAAAATTTTAACGGGAAAAAAAAAAAGGAATTCAGAAAAATGTAAACAAAAAAATTGGAATTTGGAAAAAAATAAAAGGCTTTGTTAAAAAAATTTACAAATTATAATGTTGCTATAGTTTTATGAATTAAATTGATTAGACATGCTTTATGATTATTAATTTTAATTAAACAATTTAAATGGATTACATAAAAATTAAAACAGAATTTGGGGGGGAAAAAATTGGAAATTAAAAAAAAAAAAAATTGGAAAAAAAACCCAAACATTTCATAGGGCCCTGAAAACGTAAATTTTGCTAAACTTTTAATTGTTTTTAAATTGTGTAAGTTTCATGATTTCAATGAATTAGTCATGCATTTTGATTAATAACATTTAATTGAACTGTTATCCAGAAAAATTTTAACGGAAAAAAAATGTATTTAAGAAAAATGGAATACAGAAAAATGTAAACAAAAAAAATGGAATTTGGAAAAAAATAAAAGGCTCTAGTATTGTTCAAAAAATCTACAAATTATCAAGTTACTATAGTTTTATGAATTAAATTGATTCAACGTGCTTTTTGAATTTATTAATATTAATTAAACAATTTAAATGGATTACATAAAAATTTAAACAGAATTTGGGAAAAATGGAATTTAAGAAAAAAATTTAACATTTCATAGGGCCCTGAAAATTAAAAATGTGTTAAACTTTTAATTATTGTTAAATTGTGCAAGTTTCATGATTTCAATTAATTAGGCATGCTAATAATCAATGCAAAACATTAAAACTGAAAAGTTTAAACCGAAAAAAATGGGATTGAGAAAAATGAAATCAGAGAAAACGGAATTTGAAAGAAAAAAAATAAGTAAATATAAAAAGGATTTCTAAAAGCCCTAAGCATGTCTTGCTGACTTTGCAGTGTTTCATGTTTGTTTTTAAGATGCAAGCGACTCAGAACACATCTCAAGACCTCTTTTCTATTCTGTTGAACTTTTTAAAGCTGTTTTTGACAGAAAAAGTGTCCTGAAATCGACTCCAAAGGGTCTGACAAATCCAGCTGTAAGGCACCGCTGGGAAATCCCAATGTAACAAATCACAAATTGATGAACGAGTTATTGTTTTTATGTAGAGCCTGGTTTCTCCCAAGGTGTTTACTATTATCATTTTGCATTATTGACACACTATTTTCCTAATTAATGCTGTACAGTTGCTTTGACACAATCTGTATTGTTAAAAAGTGCTATATAAATAAATGTGACTTGACTTAAAATTGTATTGTGCTTAAGTCAGGTTTGTGTTTAGTGTAGTAAAGTGCTGCACTGTTTGTAACGGTGCTGTGCTTCTGTCTCTCAGCTGCTGGAGCCGGTGTGTCATCAGTTGTTCGAGTTTTACCGCAGCGGCGAGCCGTGTTTACAGCGCTTTACTCTGCAGTTCCTGCCGGAGCTGGTGTGGAGTTACCTGTCAGTGACGGCGGCGAGAGATCCTCACTGCAGCGGCTGCATCGAGGCGCTTCTGCTCGGCATCTACAACCTGGTGAGAGCCCTGCTGAACAACACACGCTTCACACAAGCTAGACACTGAAATCAGATCAGATATAGACCGATCGGAGAAACCACACCATTGTCTTCTCTAGAGCTGCTTTGAATTTGTTCCATTACTGATGAACTTTGCAACATCAACACTATTAATGGAATCACTTGAATCGGCATTGAACTGAAGTCAGAAAGAGCTTTATGGTTCAAAGGTTTTTGTTTTCGTGTCACAAGCTTCCAGTACACAGAGACAACAACAACAACACACAGATAATAAAAATAAGATGAGAATAAAATACACATGCATAAATATAAATAAACCACAATAAAAAGAATAAATTGCATGTGGGTCAAAGACGAAAAAGGGTTTAAGCATAAAAACAATAAGGTGCGTTCGACTTGAAGCACGGATACAGACGGCGATCAACGAGAGTAGCCGCTTGCAGTCGGGGGCGGAGTTGAAAACGGAGCCGTCAAGCCGGACACTTTCTGCTCCCGTTAGTGACGCTCACGCGGTGTTTGCATACTCTATCACAGATGAAGTGAATTAAATGCAATATTTGTCAAATACACAGACGTTTCAGAAACGTTTTCATGAGCAACAGAAACACTTTTTATATACTGCTTCGCTCTGAAAAAAAGTCGAACGCACCTATTATCATCATTCACACATTTTTATGGGAATGACTGATGGGGGCGTGGCCTCGAGTCTAAACATGCCCCGCCCACATCATTATCATCATTCACACACTTCTGTAGCGTGACTGTTCTGGTCAACGTGAAACTAGGTAGCTGTTTACTAAAGGAATAGATTATTAATTATTATTATACATTTATTTTTCTGCTCAATCATTTTGTTTCAAGTCTGTATACCTTGTTTTTAATTTATTATTATTATTTATTAATTTATTAATAATTTTTTCCCCCAGTGGAACACAAAAGGATCTTTTTGAAAGATCTTGACAGATGTGGTCACTGTATGAAAAAAGATTAATCAAATATTAACCATTATTAAGATGATCAGCATCTGCTAATAATAATTTCCATTTAGTCGGTTGAAAATAAATTGTTGCCTTTTGTATCAGGTCCCAAATTTAGAAATAGTTATTTAATTTTTTTTCTGTTTCTACTCAAATCATTAGATTCCAACCCTGTATACCTTGATATTTTTTATTATATATATATATATATATAATAATAATAATAATTTTTTTCTTTTCTGTGGAACACAAAAATATGAATTGGTCAGTTTTTGGCCAGTTAATTGTGAGATTATCAGCATCTGCTAATAATCATTTTCAATTTGACTGATTAAAAAGAAGTGGTTCCCTTTTGTATCAGTTCCCAAATGATTACTATTATTGTTGTTTTATGTTTATTATTGTTTTGTTTTGTTCTTTTTTTAATGTAATATATATTTTTATAAATTTTTTTTTACTCCGTTATTTTATTTCAAACCTAAATAATAGTAATAATAATTATTATTATTATTATTTTTCTGTGGAGCACAAAAGGATCTTTATTGGGATCCTGATAGATGTAGACACACTTGTATGAAAAAAAATTATTGGCCAGTATTTGGCCAAATTCAGATGAATATCAGAATCTGCCAATAATCATTTCCATTTGGCTGGTTAAAAATAAGTTATTCCGTTTTGTCAGTTTCAAAAATTGTACAGTTATTTAATTAAAAATTTTTTTTAATATATTTGTAATTATTTTTTTCTACTTAATTTTTTTTTATTTATTATAATTTTTTGTGGTACACAAAAGGATCTTTTTGAAGGATCTCGACAGATGTGGTCACTTTTGTGGGAAAAAAAATCTAAAGTTCAAGAATATTCTTCAGTATTTTAAGAATTAAATTTTTTAGCCATTCTGAGATGATTGGCATCTGCCAATAATCATCTCCATTTGGCTGATTAAAAATAATCAAATAAATAATCCTTTGTGTTTCATGAATAACACCATATGGGTTTTGATTGACATGAGACTAAATTATGACAAATATTATTAATGGGCAAACTTGAGACTTAATGTCTCTCTCTCTCTCTCTCTCTCTCTCTCTCTCTCTCTCTCTCTCTCTCTCTCTCTCTCTCTCTCTCTCTCTCTCTCTCTCTCTCTCTCTCTCTCTCTCTCTCTCTCTCTCTCTCTCTCTCTCTCTCTCTCTCTCTCTCTCTCTCTCTCTCTCTCTCTCTCTCTCTCTCTCTCTCTCTCTCTCTCTCTCTCTCTCTCTCTCTCTCTCTCTCTCTCTCTCTCTCTCTCTCTCTCTCTCTCTCTCTCTCTCTCTCTCTCTCTCTCTCTCTCTCTCTCTCTCTCTCTCTCTCTCTCTCTCTCTCTCTCTCTCTCTCTCTCTCTCTCTCTCTCTCTCTCTCTCTCTCTCTCTCTCTCTCTCTCTCTCTCTCTCTCTCTCTCTCTCTCTCTCTCTCTCTCTCTCTCTCTCTCTCTCTCTCTCTCTCTCTCTCTCTCTCTCTCTCTCTCTCTCTCTCTCTCTCTCTCTCTCTCTCTCTCTCTCTCTCTCTCTCTCTCTCTCTCTCTCTCTCTCTCTCTCTCTCTCTGTGTGTGTGTGTGTGTGTCTCTGTGTGTTTCTGTGTGTGTGCAGGTGTAACGGTGAGGTGGAGCTGGGCTCGAGGGCTCTGGATGATGTGTTGTACCGAGCGCAGCTGGAGCTCTTCCCAGAAGCCCTGCTGGTGTGTTTTCATGCTCAGGCTTCAGCACAGATTACACTGATCCAGCCAAAGCACCGCGATTACCAGCATTTCTCAGATTCACTCACTGGTCCTGTTAGAATGACCAACTGCAGCACTGTGACAGAAACACAAGCACTCGCAACACCACAAGAACAAGCCAAAGAGCAGGAATTAGACATGCTTAGAGGAGTAAACACTGACTCTGACAATGATTTGATTTGATAATGAGCCTTAATCTGGTGCATTAAAATAGAGTCTGGTTTGATTATATATTGATACTATTTTATATACAGTACATATTGATTATTTTAGTTACATATTTATGTTAAGTATATTTAAATGTTTATATTTAAATTTTTGAATAGTTTTTTAAATAAAATTGTATATTTAGAATATTAGTTTTATTAAAAGTAATCATGATTTATAACAATATGCCAAAAGTTGCAAATTACATAAGCTGCAAAATTATATCAAATATTAAAATTATATGAAATTATATACATCTATTTGTATTAATTTATTATATGCAATTTATATCAATTGTGCAATTGTTAACTTGCAACTGTCTGTAAATTATGAGTCATAAATTAATTTTATACATTTAAAAAAAAAAATTATATTTAGAATTGTATTAGTTTTATCAAAAGTAATTATGATTTATAATGTGTACAAACTGTTGCAAATAACATAAGTTTCAAAATTGAATATATCTTATATAATAAGTATTTGTATTATATTATTATATGATTTATAACAATTTTGCAACTGGTAACTTGCAACGATCTGTGAATTATTAATCATAATAAAAAAAAATTATATATTTAGAATTGTATTAGTTTTATTAAAATAAATAATGAATTATTACAATATAAAACAGTTGCAAATTATATAACAGTTGAAAATACATAATATATTACATCTGTATTAATTCTGTAATTCTATATTATTCTATATTTGTATTAATTTATTATATATGTTTTTGCAACGTAACTTGCAACTGTCTTTAAATATGAATCATATAATTAATTTATATACAATTATTTTTATAAAATTATATATTTTAACTACTTACAAATAGTTGCACATTTTTGGATAAGAAATGAACATGTAACACTTTTTATATGTAATATCGAATAATGCTTTGAATACTTCTGGGAATATATTTGTGACCCTGGACCACAAAACCAGTCATAAGGGTCAATTTTTCGAAATTGAGATTTATAAATTATCTGAAAGCTGAATAAATAAGCTTTCCATTGGTGTATGGTTTGTTATGATAGGACAATATTTGGCCGAGATACAACTATTTGAAAATCTGGAAACTGAGGGTGCAAAAAAAATCTAAATATCGAGAAAATCGCCTTTAAAGTTGTCCAAATTAAGTTCTTAGCAATGCATATTACTAATCAAAAATTAAGTTTTGATATATTTAAGGTAGGAAATTTACAAAATATCTTCAATACATGATCTTGATAGGATTTCCATGATCTTTACTTAATGTCCTAATGATTTTTGGCATAAAAGAAAAATCAATCATTTTCACTCATACAGTGTATTTTTGGCTATTGCTACAAATATACCCCAGCGACTTAAGACTGGTTTTGTGGTGCACATACCAAACAGAAGATTTCTCAGCTCTGTCTTGTTCTAAAGTCTGACTCTCGCTCAGGTGGGAAATGCCATCAAGTCGTCTCTCCACGGCGCCTCTCTGAAGGCCAATAAAGAGGGAACCCGCTCCATCCAGGTGGAGATCACACCCACGGCCCCCCGCATCTCCCGCAACGCCGTCACCAGCCTGTCCATCCGCGGACACCGCTGGAAACGCCACGGTGAGGAGACGGTTGCCATGGCGACTCTCACTTCCTGTAGACGCCCACGTAGTGTTAAAGGCACACTATGTAATTTTTCGCCGCTAGAGAGCGCGTATTCAAAATAAACAGAGAGACAAAGGCGTAGTTAGATGACGCCGTGACTGAGTGTGGAATCATGGGAGTTGTGGTCTTCATCCCCACAGCTGATGCAATCCGACGGGATTCGGGCAGAAATCATGTTCATGGAAGAGCTAATGATTTATTAATGTAGTAGAATGAAGCAGGGTGAGGCTGAAAGCCGTCAAAGCGAAACGAGGCCGAAGGCGTCGACTGTGGCATAATAAAAGCTCCGCTGCTTCCGCTGCTTCCGGTCGTGCGTATGTGGGGTAAAGCAGCGGAGCTTTATCATACTAGATACATTTGAAAGTTCTGTTATAATGCTACTCTGTGCGGTCGTCACCGGTCTATTAAAACGCACAACATATTAAAGCGTCTTTGGTGTTTCCATGTTTTCTACAAAACAAAACCGGAAATCGAGGGTTTATGATGTCATAGGCAGGCGACACAATGACACTGTTACCGTGTCACTAGATAAAATTGCTTATTTCTCTGGATTTAAACATTCTTCGAAACATTTGGGATAATGTAAGTACACAAGTCAGCAAAATATATAACACTGTTCTAGTGGTTTTTGGATATTTTAATAAAAAAATTATTCAAGACCCTGCGGGGGTTTTCCCTCGACTCGGGCGGAGCGGGATTCCTGCTCACATTAATGATATTGCTGATGTGACGCGTTTAGCACAGGTTTCCAGCTGTGCGCTTTGACGTGGCGCTCCGGAGCCCATCACCATCTGACTAATTAGCACTCAGTCATTTCAGACGTAATGAAGGGGTTTCTGTTCGTCAGCCGTAATTAAGCAGCAAACGCACTCATTAGTGGGATCCGCTGAGGCAGGCGTCACCATTACTAGATTTTACACGTTTGCTGTCTAAATCATCTCACTAACCGGAGTGAAGCATTTGTGCTACAGATGATGTCTCAGATCATACGGCTTACTTCTTAAGAAATTAGATCAGAACTATGTGTTTCATAATATTAGATTTACTTTTGTTTTGTTTTGAGTCTTTTTGTTCGGTTGAGTCAAGTGTTTCATAATATAAAGTGGATGTTAATTTGGATTTACATTTATTATTAGTATTAAAATATAGTTAGTGCAGAATAACAGTTGTATTTTATAATTATATGAATAATAATAATAATAATGTAATTGTATTATAATATTTTATATTAATAGCCGTATAATTATTTAACATTAGCATTTAAACATTATTAAAATATAATTCTATTAATAATATAATAACATAACATATTAATATATAATAATTATATTTTGTAATGTAATTTAAATGTAATATTCATTGTAATGTTTTATAAATTTACTATATGTTATAAGGAAATGTGAAATAATTATTTTATTAAATAACTATATTTTTATATTTATGTAGTTATTATAAAATATTATATTTATAATGTTGTGATAAAATATATTATAACAATATAATTTAATTGTAATATTAATTATAGTGTCATTTTCTAATAGAATTATAATGTTAATTTTAATGTTTTATAATAACTATTTATTAAACCACTATAGGATTATAATATTATGATATATAGTTATTGTAAAATATTTTATTATAATAAAAATATTATAATATATTAGAATTATGATACAGTATTGTATATTATAACAATGTAATATTAATTATAATATTTTTTATAATAACTATTAAAATTATTAAAAATAATCAAATAAAATAATTATTTTGTCTATGATTTAAATATAATTTTCTAATATTTTAGTATAATAGTATAATTCAAAGTAGCATCACTTTCGATGGGAAGGAGTCGCTTTCATTTCATTGTCATCTGTGTCCATTTTCATGTTATAATTTTGAAGTGTTTATGTTTGTCTTGAGACGTTTCAGATTTGATTTCCATGTGCGTCTCATCAGCTTCTCGTCATGCATGTGTCCATGTGTGTGTGTGTGTGTGTGTGTGTGTGTGTGTGTCTCTCAGAGTCTCAGGAGGACAGTGTAGAGTCCCCTGACTCCTGCGTGAAGGGGCCCATCCCTGAGATTAGTGTAACGGGGGTCGGCGGCGAGCGGCTGCTCAACGGAGAGGCTCTGCGCAGCAGGACGGAGGGGGAGGCGCTAGGGGGCGCCACAGAGGTGGGGGTCGACCCTAGAGGTCAAGAGGTCAGGAGGCAGAAGTCTGTGGGGCGGGTTCAGTTCTAGAGCCCCACCCACCCCTCGTCTCGCACACCCCTCCCCTCTCCCTCGGGCCCAGAGGTACTTGATGTGGGCGGAGCTTCTTGATAAGCTTGTTAATTATTAATGAGATGTAAACGCTTCCGAATCTCACAGTAACAGCGTCTAGGGGATTTCTTCTCAGTATGAGGCTTTGCTTTTGCTTTTTCCTGAAGGAATATGTGTGGTTCAGAGGTAAAGCTCTTTCTACAGCTTTAGTGATTGTTCATTACCACAGCAAATCAGCTTGTACGTTACGTTAGTACATTAAGGCCATTTATGAGATGTAAAAGCCCAAATGTGACGGATGATCTTCTGATTATGTGTATCTACGTGGAAAATGTCCTTGCAACAACAATATTTATATGCATATTATTTTATATGTACTTAAATATGCATAAACAATATGCAAATATTTTATAATTTTTTATAACGTTGCATGTTTAAATTTGTCCTGATAATTTTAATATACAAAAAAGTTATTGACAATATTATTTTCATTATAATTATACATCATTATTATATAAGCACTGTATATATATATATATATATATATATATATATAATATATATATATATATAT